GAAATATTCAGCCCAAGAAGAGTCGTGGAAGGCATGCCTCCTCGCGCGCTGCGCCGCTGTCCAATTAATCCGGTTATGCCTGTGATAGGCACCGTCTGTGTTCTTCTTGTAACTTGCGATGATTACGCTCCTCACAGTGTGTTCTCTCCAGGTCGGTGGTCGCTCTTCTCGTTCTGAATTCTCTCGAACCCTTGACTGCAACTTCCCTTGTATTTCCCTGAGGCGCGACGTGCCTGTCCCGGTTTGACTACTACTGGTTAAACTGGGCGTCAAACCCGGCAGCGAGATTTGCATTAATGGCCTAACTGGGTTTGCCTCTAGATTGCGCAGGAAAGGAACCGGCTCGGGAGTCGTCCATGCTTCCAGGCCGTCATTCATGTGTTCATGGGCCGCACGGTCCAAGTTGAAAAGACCGCCCGCTCGAGGAGCTTCGTCTGCCTTCATTCGCGACTCCGGTCTCGATCACGTGACAGCCGGTTCAGTTGTAGTCCTCTTTTTCTCTTTCCCACTCGCGACCACTTGCTGCCTCCTTTGTAGTCGCTCTAGTTCTGACTTAATTTGGTCACAATTGTCTACGCTTTCTTGTTGCCTCTGCTCTTGTACTCGTTCTGCCATCAGCAGATCCCGATCAAGAATCGCCTTGTCCTGCTCAAGTATTGCCTGCTCGCGATCAAGCTTGGCTTGATCCCTTTCAAGAGTCGCCTGATCCCTATCCAGAATGTTTTTGTCCCGTTCCCTTTGGGCCCTTTCCAACTCTCTCTTCGTGCTGCGGAGATCCGGATACGACTCCTCTGTTTGTTGCGAGCGAATTTCCGACGGTGGCTTAGTTGTGGACTGAGTCGCTGCTCCTGCTGGAGGACTGGTCGTAAGTAGAAATTCTCCCGCACCATATTCCGTGTCGCTACTCAAGTCAGGGTTTCTCGCAAGGTCATGCCCTCTCAGGCCTCCATCGACATTCCAGGATAGCTATTTGTTCTGCTCCTGATTTGATACTCCGTCTGAAGTGTATCCCACCATCAACACGGCTTCAGTCGCTGACTCCCTGCATTCGCCTTGTGCTTCCAGTTGCAGGATGGCATTTAACATTACCGGCAGTCTTTCGTCCACTTGCATATAATCAAGGTCCCTCAACCGCTTGTATAGCTCATCGAGGTTGGCTTGTATAGATCATCAGGGAGTCTTTTGAGTGCTCCTGGCATAGACTTCCCGAAACGATCCGCTATCGTTGATTCTTTTCTAGCGATCTCACGTGTCAACCAATTCAAGAAATATTATTTACCAAAGCAACTCAAGAAATATCCGTTACCAAACCATCTCAAGAAATACCTTTCCAGTTAAACTCAAAAAATATCCTCCTCTAGTACTGCTAGTGAACCCCCGTTCGAGATCTCGCTTTTTCTGTTCGAGTGAGTGTAGTTTGATTGTCAATTCAATTTGCAAATCAATCTGAAAAAAGAATTTCTTTTTAGACTTTTGCTCATGCCTAGCCTAAACCCACCCATTAATACCATTAAGACATTATCTTAACGACTCCATTAAAATGATTCAATTTAGATGTTAAAAAGATGCAGATTCATTTTATGTTTTAGCACCATTAATTCTCCAGACTTCAATTGTCATGCCAATTACATCAAAATCCGTCTGCCTGCTTCGCGCCCCTTGTAGCTAAATGGTGCGCCTTTAACCTAACTAGAGAGTCCTGTGCCTCCCGACTCAAGACTTCCATGTCCATTCAAAGCTCAGGCGATACTCAAGTAGTACTTTCTGTGTAGGTGCACTATTATCTCCGTTTCTGCAAAGACCACGTGTAGGATGGCGTATAACTCATTTGGGCTCAACCTCTCCCTGTTTGAATTGTAGACGGGCATTGAGACCTCTCGTATTCCTCTTTCGACCATGAAGTCCCTCAACCTCGTTAGTGCCAGCATCACTTGCTCGGAGTCCATCGTTTTCCTCTCGTTGACCCTCGTCACCAAGAAGCACAGATATTTATCAGGAACTGTAAGCCATTCCTCCCAACCCTGGCCTCTGCCTGAAAAGAAACTCCACCTTCTGATATTCTCTTTTAAAGTCTGCTTCCAGTCTCGTGTTGAAGCTCATGTCCGCTGTTATGCAGATCGCACTCGTCCTATCTGACAAAATGAAGTCGCTGTCTGTAGTCAGGATGTTCTCTGAATACTCGTTCGGTATCTCGAATTTTGTCTTGAAACTTCTTCCTATGGTAGGCTCAGCTTCCTCCTGATCCAGTTCTAACCGGTTAGTCTCTCTCACTTCCCTGAGCTTCTTTATCATCAAATTTTTGGTGTGGGTAAGTCCTACCCCCACTCCCTGGACAAAAATATTTATCGACGTCCCCGTCGATGGTGCTGGGCTCAAGTTATCCGGTGGTACTTCTAGTGGCCGGTCGGTGGCTGTCCAACCAAATAGTGGATTTCCTGTCTTTACATGTTTCATTGCTGACACGACGACTTGTTGGATGTTCTGCGGCTCCCTTTCGTCAGTCTCAAGATTATGCATCCACTCCAGTACCCTCAGATTTGTATTTTCCCTTCTTTCTATCTCGCTCTGTTCCAGATCTATTTCTCGTTCCGGTACTGATTTGTATTTTTGCAAGGAGTGCTCGCTGTCGTTGATGATCTGCCATTCTTCATCGGCTACCAGGTCGCCTACGTTCACCAACTCCTCTCCTATCTCATCGTGTGTATCTTGTCAATCAAGAAGTCGTCACCATACCTGTTGTATCTCATGATGGTCCATTTGCGATCGCCTTTCCTTGTCCATGTGTTCATCGGATGGTCTGGTTCTGTCCACTTCGGTACTTCCTTCTGCTCTGGATCATTCGAATCTTCCTCCACGAAAGACCCTTCGTCCGAATCCACCTCTATCTTCTCGCTATCATGCATGCTCACGTCCTCGTTGCCATCATTTTTTTCTCTGGTGCCTTTCTCGTTCACCTCACATGCAGGTTCATGTTCTGTGGTACATACCAATCTTCCGGACATGGGACGCGAGGTTTCAGATCTTCGTTGTGCGCCGCATGCCCTGTTGTCAATCGCTAGAACCGGCCCTGTAGGTGTACCTCTGTTATCAAAAAAGGTCCTCTCCATTTCTTCAGCAACTTCTTAGTCCCCTTTCCTTTGGGGGTATAACATTCTGGATCACCCAGACGTTTTGTCCTACAGCATACGGTTTCGCCTGAAGTATTTTTTCTCGTACTGCTTCCGATGTTTCATTTGTGCCTGCGCCGTGTTCCTTCTACAGAGCTCGTTCATTTCTTGTTGTCTCCTGACCACTTCCTTCCTGAACGCTTCCTTCCGGGTAGAAGAATGTCAGGGGCATTGCTCTCTCCCTGCCAGTCAACATCATGAAAGGACTGATCCCTGTCGTTGAGCGCTGCGTGCCGTTTCACGCCCCCACATTTTGTGGCAGATATTTGTCCCAATCTGTCATGTATCTCGAGCAATATACTCTGAGCATGTTCACCAGAGTTCTGCTCTGTCTCTCCACTAATCCGTTCGTTTGAGGATGGTAGGTTGTTGAATGTGCTTGGGCAATATGCGATCTCCCCATCAGTTCTTTTGTCAGGTCCCCCACGAAGACTTTCCCGTTGTCCGACTGGAATGTCATCGGACAATCATATCGTGATATCCAGTGCGTTTTCAAATGATCACAAGTCTCTTCCGCTGAGGCCGCCTGACAGGGTAGCGCTTTGGCCAATTTCGTGAAGTGGTCTATAATTACCAGTATCTGATTGTGTCCCGTTTCGGTCATGCATGTCTTCTGATGGTCTATCTGCACAACCTCGTTAAATTCCGAGCTTTCCACGTACTTCAGTGGGAATTTCATTTTTCTAGGGTCCTTCACTTACAAACACGACAAACAAGCGTACACCCACTTTTTTCAAGCCTTTCTTAACATGGCCAGTCAAACCTGTGTAGTATTCTTTGTTGTACCTTGTCTATCCCCTGATGCGCCATTTGGTCGTGCAATCTGAACAACACTTTCGTCTGGAATAGCTGTGGTAAGACGAGGAGACTGTGCTTGTGTACTATCTTCTCCTCATCGTTCCTCCTATAGGCTACCACACCATCAGATGTGTGATAGAGTAAGTCCCTTCTTTCCTTGTAGAACTGGCTCAAGATCTTGTAACTATCTTCCTCTGGGTCACCTTTCTCCTTGTCTTCAGTCCGGATCCATTTGGTGAGGTTGCTCGTCATCTTGTCATTCTTCTGGGCTCGTATCAGATCCGATATTGTGTATCTCGTTTTGACGTGTTCCTTCAATACCATCATTTGGCCATTTAGTTCTCCGGGACTGTGGATGTCGTCTTTTAGCTTAACGCAAACTATTCTTCTCAAGACCTTCCTGTCATCATCCGGTTCCAGGTTCGTCCTGACGTTTGAGTTGCACGATAGCTTCCTGAATTTTTTTCTTGACACGTCTATTTTCTCAAGCTCTCCTCCTTCGTACGCATTTTGTTGCTCTAGGTTGTATGTTCCTGCGGAAGAGTCAGCTTGTAGTTCTCTGTCGTGGAGCCTCATTTTCTCCTCTGCTAATATCATGCAGAGACTGTCTTGGTCATCCCCACTCTTCTCTGAGTCATCCTCCCATTCATCCGACTCCCCGGACAAGTTTTCATCCTCATTGTATCTTTCTGATTTCGACCACTCCCCGGACTCTTGATCTGGTCCTAGGTGTTCGGCTTCATTCTAGAAAGTCAATTTCTTTTTCCGAAGCGTAGTCTGTCTTAGTATGTCCTCTGGGATCTTCTCGACCAATGTCCGCACAACTTCTTTGCCGTCAAGTTGCCTTATTGTTAAATCCTCGCCTTGAGCCACTTCCCCTCTTTTCAATATGGTGACTTCCGGTTTGTCTTTATCTTTATTCCGGGCTACCGGTTTATCGTCAGCTTGTTTCTTTAGTAGTCTCCTCAGCTCTTCTCCTATTGTCATCCTTCCTGTTTCCACTTCATCAGGGTCATAGTTTTTTGCTTTTGATGTTTACCTTACTATCTTCGACTTGAGCATCATTTCCATTGGTAACCCTGTTTTTCTCTTGAGAATTTCTTTCGTTTCATGTTCTGCTAGTAGCTCAGGATGGTCCTCTATCGGTTTCCCTGACTTGTCAAGCCACCTCGTGAGTGGAGGACTGTCATACGCCTCCTTGTCCATAAACGAGAAACCATGTTTGATCTCCGGCCTATCGTTCTCCTTTTGCTCCTGTCTCTCGTAAAAATTCGTCTTTTTGCTCAAGCTATCGGCGTTCTGAGGTTTTTCCCTTGTTCTGTGCTCGATAATCATGTCGTAACCATCCAGGCGCACTATCCATCTGCCGATGTAGCTCTGGTCCGTTGAGTACGTTTTTAACCAACTGAGTGCTCTGTTGTCGACTCGTAGCTTGAATGGCTCGCTGCCTAGGTATGATCTATATTTTTCAACAAAGGTCACTACCGCGAACATTGCCGCTTTGGGTGCTCCGTACTTCATCTCTGTATCACTCAAGACTTTGCTCCAGTAAGCTAACGCTCTCAGGACTGTATTTCCAATCCTTTCCTGTTCTTGGTGGAGTATTCCAGAGATCGCTACCACCGATGCATCCGTGTACTGCATCTACCGCATCTGGGTCTGGTCTAAAACCATGTTTGTCCACCATTCTCCCCTGTATTTTTTCGAGTCCTTGAGAATCTCACATTTCGATGGCTTACATTTCAGTCCTGCTCTCTTCATACAAACAAACACCTCCTCCAGTCGTTCAATGTGGTCCTCCAGTTTAGTTTTTGCAATCACCACGTCATCTACGTAGCACATTACTAAATTGCCATATTTCTTTGTAACGCTCGTCAGCGCTTGTTCCATCAGTCTTTGGAAGGTGGCTGTTGCATTGCAGAGGCCAAAAGACATTCTCTTCCATTGGAACAAGCCCAGTTCGCATGCAAAACCCGTCTTGTCCCTGTCTTGCTTCCTCAGTGGTATCTGCCAAAAGGCCGACCCTAGATCAACAGTTGGAAAAATTTTGCGTCACCTAATTTTGAGATACTTTTATCAATCCTAGGTATGGGATAGGCATCCTTCACCGTGACGGAGTTCAGATATCGAAAGTCACAACAAAACCTAAAATGGTCTCCTTTCTTTTTAGCCATCACTACTCCACACGCCCACTGTGATTTGGATGGTTCTCTCATGTCATACTCTAGTAGGTTTCTATCTCTTTTCTACAAGCATCCTGTTTGTTTGAGGTCATACGCCTCGCCCCCTCCCTATACGGTACCGCCAATCCTACTAGCTCTATTTCATGTTCTACAAAGTTGCAGCATCCAATGTCTGCCTTATGTCTCGAAAAAACATCCTGATTGCTATCTAGAACGTTCTTGATGGCTTCGAGCTATTCGTCTGTTACCTTCCCTCTTAACTGTTCAATTTCTGGTAAAACTGGTTTATCTATTTCCAATTCCTCTAGCGTGGGTCTTTCTGGAAAATTCAAACAGCTCGACAGTCCATCGTCTGTCTCTGACTTAAGTGACTTCACAAGACATGATGAACATTTTATTTTCTTCAATCGTCTCAAGATACAAACTTTATCCCTGTGATTTGGGCAATCAAGGACTTTTTTTTTCATATTTTCAGTCATTTCGTATCTAGTTTTCACTGGCAGTGCGTAACCAAGCTTCCTCCCCCTATGGACTGTGATTGGTATATCAAGAGTATTCAACAAGACACTGACACAGAGGCCACTCTTGGTTATCGAGAAGGATCTTCCTAAAATAGCAGAACTTTGATTATTTGGATTCGGTACTATACATACTTGTTTGTTGTCGCTCAGTTCATTATAGTTTTTCATCCGTAATCTCACTACTGCCGCCTCATTTGCTTTCAGCCTTACTCTCTTGCTCAAGAAAACTGGAGACTTATTTTCATTCGCCATTATCAGGTTTACCGGTTTGATTACGTACCTCCTTTCCGGGTTTCGAATCCTGAACATCGCCTTGTTGAGATCATTTGTTACGTCGAATTTACTGAAAAAATCTCTGCCTATAATGAAATGGCAAGACTCATCTAGATTCTCCACCACCAGAAACCTCATCCACAGATTGCGTTCTCCCAGGTTTATGGTTATTATTGGTGTCCTACCTATAACCCGAAGCGCCCCCTTGTTTGCTGCTGACAGTCGTATTCTTGAGTTAATCAGGCCATCTTTGTCGAACCCATTCTTCTCCAAGTTTCAATTGGTATTACACACAAGACGGCTCCCGTGTCCAGCAACCCACGCAGTTATGTCTTCTTACCATTTATGTCCAATACGTGTGCAGAAACGTCTGCCTCTGTCCTCAGACGCATGGCATCCTCCTCCATAGCACAGTGCCCAATGGATTTGCCCAATGGAGACATGCCCGCAAAGATCCTCGTCACATGTTAACATAGTTTTTGTGTAGATGTTTATACCATCTATATTCAACATGACCTCATGTGGCCCATAGGCTTCCGTGTATCTTTTTTTTATGCGAACTGATTTGCTACCGCCTCTCATGAGTAATGCCCTTAAAGCTCAAGAAGGAGTTTGCGGTTTTATTGCACTCAAGTAGTCCGCGTATACATCTATGTGCATCACTGTCTGATCACTCAGTTCACTCAGGTTTCTTGTTACTTCGTGGCCGCCCATTACGATTGTTGACATGATTCTCGGCCCAATTTTCGTGATGCCAAATGGTTTTTAAGTTACCATTTTCAAGGTGTTGCAGTTGCCCTTGCCCGTCGAGTTCTCTCCGGTCTCTGGTTCTGATTTTCTCATACAGAGCGTCTCATTCAGTCTCTGTTTTTCTATCTCCTGCTTAAGACATTGTTCGATTTCGTTTGTCGCCATGTCTTGCTTAACTTTGTTGATCGCCTCTGCAGCTGCCCTCTCGTAGTTTATCTCTAGAGAGTTTCTTTTCTCGGCCCCCGTGGCATCTTTGTTTCGTGTCACGACCTTTGGTGTCTTTGTTGAAAATTCACCACTCGCTGCTTCTTTATTGCTCAAATCGTTTGCAGCTTGTCTGTTCCTAGTATTTTGCACTGCGGCTAATGCTAGTTTGTGTTTCGGGTGATTCTGATTCTTCACTGCCTCCCAAAACAAAGGAAAGTCCATTCTGAAATGGCCTTCACTGTAAAACTCACGTTCTTCCGTGTGATTCATGTCCTCTTCCTCCGGTGCGTATCCTAAGTTCTTCATGCCCTGCTTGTATGTCGTGCAATGCGCCACATGATGATCTGCTGATCCACAATTTGCGCAAAACCTACGTTTATCCATGTCGTCTCTGAGCTTGTACCTTGACGACCTTTGTGCCTGGCTCCCCCCTTGCAAGTTCCTGCCTTCTGAGTATGAGTACTTTTTTGGTTCATTAATATGTACTCTCTTGACTTTTGTCTCATCTCTACTGGGGTTGGTGCATCCTTCGATAGTGTATACTTTTATAACAGGACAAGTTATTTTTACAAACCCGAAGGGGTCAAAATCCGGAAGGGTCCTGTTTTTTCCCAATCCGGACGGGTCCCAATTTTGCCAAACTGAGGGTCCCAATTTTGCCAATCCGGAGGAGTCCTGTTTTTGCCAACCTGGAGGGGTACTATTTTTGCCAATCCGGAGGGGTCCTAATTTTGCCAATCCGCAGGGGTCCTAATTTCGCCAATCCGAATAGTCCTGTTTTTGCCAATGCGGAGGGGTCCCAATTTTGCTAATCCGGAGAGGTCATGTTTTTGCCAATTCGAAAGGGTCCTAATTTAGCCAATCCGGAAGGGTCCTTTTTTGTCAATACTTAAGTAGACAAAAGAAAAGAAAATAGCAAAGTATTTAAAATTATTAAATGTCAGGCTAGAAACCAGTGACTGCACTGGTAACTTGCCTTTCAAAAAGACCAGACAAAAACAAAACAAGTCTGATCCGGATGTTTGCGACACTAAGTCTAAATTGAACAAGAGTTTGTCACTGATTTGTGTGGGTTGAAATCAAAAATCTTTTTTTTTGTAAAAGTGATAGCCCTTAGGATTTTAGTAGGTCTAGCTATGGCAATCCGAAGGCAGATAGGTAACACAGGACTTAGTGAATGCAATAGACGCCCACTTGAGAAAATTACTGCCTTCAAGTTTTGTCTAATTGGTGCAGGACCGAACAGGGAAAGATCTTTCTTTAGAAACAAGTTCGACTATCACATTGCGACTGACTAAAACACAAAACACATACGTTTTTCATCAAAAATATTCATGTTTTTCTTTCTTTTTGGCTTTAATTCAATAATAATTGTGCTTGATTGGGTAGTGAGAACATTATCTTTTAAATATATTGATATCATCAGACTGTGCTAGCTTCAATCCTTACAATTAATAATTGTGATAACATACAAGGATTCGTGGTCACTATTTAAGTGAAACTTCCGGAATTTATTGTGTTGTGTTATTATTATCAGTAGTCAAACAATAAGTACACTAGCATTCGAATTGAGTGCATAGGCAGTAAGAAGTGATAAGTTGAAAATGAGTCTAGAATAGTCAAGGATACCTAAACTAAGTGATAGCTCGAAGAAATTCAAACCAAAGAAACAGAGAAAAGGAATGAACGACACTTTTGTGAAAAGGATCACACGAACCCGGACCGACAGAGGAGAAAAAATTTCAGGCGGAATGGTTGAAACTAGGAGTCAAAACCCAGGAGGCCATGGATGAGAACCGGGCGGACATGGACCGGAAGGGAGGGGAAACAGAAGATTGGCTAGTGAATCTACTCTGGCAGAGCAAACCAAGATTTTGCCACTTCCACCGGGACTCTAGACCGAGAAGAGATGTTGGAACTGTCCGACATCTCTACTGAAAAAGTGCCGATCATATGATCACCGACAGACAATACCATGATGCATGGCCTGACGGAGAAACCGGCAACGTCTTCCTCGTTTTCAGAAAGAATGAAGAACACTTTGGTAAACTTTCTTATCATGGGAACGGGTACAGGCGATGAAGCAGAAACCCAGGAAGAAGAGGAGGACAATGACGGATCTCAAGTCAGCCTCAATAGTTCGACTCCGGAGAATGACGCATACATCGATACAGAGACTGGCTCCATGGACCAATTTGGTGTAGTCAGGACAATAAACAAGTAAGCAAGACCACAAACGGATCAGGCCAGTCGGGAGACTTTGTGACCGTGACGAATTCGGAGATGCGAACTGGGAAGAAAAGAAACACAGGGCTTTGCAACCCACCTGCGGATCCAGAAGTGGATCACGAAGAGACATCGATGCAGAGAATCAAAACCCGAGCCTCGACCAGCACCAAGCTACCTGGAACCGACAGGTTGACGCCGCCACTTGTGACGCCATTATTGGACAACGGAGCATCAATCGAAGAAGCCTTGATCAACATAGTGGGCAGCAAAGGAGAACAGAATGAACAGATGTCCTTAAGAATGAGTGAACTAAAAGGGCAGTCCACGTCGAGAGACAAAAACTTGCGGGAAGAGATCA